TCTCAAAGTCTTCTTTGAATTAAATACTAGTGGTGCTATTTTAAGCAAGCCAGGATCTAGGGAGTTTGTCCAGCTGCCAGAGGCTTCTTTGCACTTTTGGATATATGAAACAAATTCCCATCTTCTTGACTATGGTAGCACAAAAAGAGGATCAGGACCCTATTGTGGTGTGGGTGATGTTCAAACTAGCTACAGAGAAAGCAGTCCTTGTTCAGGAGCTTGCAGCTTTCCTTTTAGGATGCAAAGCAGGCATGTAAAGCAGATAAAAGCCCTGGAGGTATGGGGTTTGGCTATGCAGGAAAAAATACAAGTTTGGATTCCTAGTTGGACCTTTGAGGCTTGTACATACAACTTTGCAACCAACCTCATCGCTCAAAAACAGCCTTCAACAGGTTCATTAGCTGCATAGTTATCTCCCTGCAAGATAAGAGAGATTTGAGAGATTTAGGTTGTTTTTAGTTTAAAGAAGACAGCTGAAGGGAGATAAAGTAGGCTTCAAACATATAAAAGTTTACTGCAAAGGGTAAAGTTAGTTAAACTCTTCTCCAAGTCCACCAGGAACAGGATTTGGCTAATGTGCTTAAATTGCTAGATTTGATCTAACCTAAATCTGTGGTGTGCTAAACATTGGACCAGATCACACTGAAGGCTGTGGAATTTGTATCGCTGAAGGTTTCCTAGAGCAGGCTAACTACCCCGGACACACATTTGTCTACGGAGAGTTAATCCTGCCTCGGGTCAAGAGGATGGACTAGGTGATCTCAAGGTGCCTTCTAGCTCTGCAACCTGTGATTTTAAAAGGAGAGACAGTGAGCTTTCGTATCCTTTTGCTGTTTTCAGGAAGAGAGTGGTAGGGCTGTAGCAGTATAGGGCTACTGCTCTAACTCTTTCTTTCTTGCTTAAAATCCTGCCACTTGTCATCCCTGTACCATTCCGGCTTCTTTTTTCTCTTTCGTCCAATAACAGCGATATACCTTTGTCACAGCACAATGTACACTACCCCATTTGCTGTAGCTCAAACCCATATCACGCAGTACAGATGTAAGCAGGGGAGGGATCAGTCCTAGGGGGAAATGCTCTCCACTAGCTTGCGCTGAGCTGCGCTAGCATTTGATATGGGCCCTTCATCCCCTTGGGCTGTGGGGCAGAGTAATGTTGCCACTTCTTGGACCATCTGTTGGAGTTGCTCTGCAGTCTTGCTAGCCTCAGTGAATGCAAGGGAAAAGCAGATGACCTGCCCAGCCCATTGAGGAACAACCTCTCCTCTGTCTTGTCCCCACTTCCCCTCCCATCAGGAGGCAGACGGGATTTGCAAAAACAAACTTCTGTGATATTCAAGCAGGGGACTGGGGTATTGTCTGGGCTTCTCTCTTCCTGGAGCAGATTACAAAAAACAGATGCAGTCCTAGGGAAATTGGCAACACTATTTAAAAAAAAAGGGAGGGGGCATTTCCAGTCCAGTTCTAGCTGAAATTTAAAGGCAAAACTCCCCTTCATTTCACTGAGAGAGAAACTGAATCTGAACCAAGAGTGCTTTAAATTCTTAGAGGGAGAGCTGCTGCTTCGCACCAACCTTCGCCTCTTTCATCAGACAGTAAAGACACAATGCTGCGTTTGTAACATCACAATCATTTCTATAGCAACAGACTGTGATGTCACAAACATGCAGCCTGGGACAGTGATTTCATTACATCTTTGAAGCTAAGCAGGGCTGGGATCTGGACGGGAGACCTCCAAGAATAACCGAAGTACTGAAGGAAGTCATGCTGATGATTCAGTGAATGGCAGCCTTCCCTCTGAGTCACAAGTCAGCCAATGCACCAGCTTGGTGCTAGGGAGTTCACTGTACTGCTGGAGATGCCACTTCTTACGTGAGCCATAATACTGAGACCGTGGCCATTTTTGGTCATTGAGCATCTCCTGGCACTCTTTACAAAAGCTGAGGTTTTCTGACTAGTCCCTCAGCCACATTCCAATGACACTGCCTCCTCTACTGATAATTTGCTATGTAGGTTAAACTAAAGATATTTTCCATATTTTGCTCCAAAAAGTGGTACGCATAGAGCTGTTGGGCTGCTCTGTTCCACCCATGTTAGTGGTGGGTGAGCAATCCTCATAGACGCACGCTGCCAAGGGATTTGGAACGTGTGCTGAGGAGTGTTCTTCATCTAAGTTCATTTTGGTGTCTGTTCTTCAGTATGAATATTTCTGCTTGATCTTTTAGTGAATGTGAATGGCAGGGATGAAAGTGCTGGTTAATATACAAAAACTTCAGGGCACAAAGAGGGTATGTAAACTAGTGTCCATGTATTAATATTGCTTTCTTTAATATTCAATTACACATGAATGCTCATGTTTAAAAAGCAATCTAAGCTAATCTGAAAAACCTGAGAAAGGAGGAGAGAGATCTGCTTCTTGTTAGCTGCACTTTAAAAATTACTCATCTATTAAGGTTTATTTCCTTTCCCCCAGACACTCAAAATATACCTGGATTCTTTCAAATCTACCATTTGACAAACAGAGCTGGAAATTTGGGACTGACAGTTGTCATCACTCACATCATGCTATCATCTGTCCATCAATGGCATTAATGCCTTGGTGTTTATGGTATAGGCCATATATGTCTTCAGTGAGGCACTGAATGAAATCTGTAGTTACTGCAGTGTGTACTGATGTGAGATTTGCTCATCTCAGAGAGCCCTTCCAGGATTACTGAGACATTGTAGAAGTCTTTGTTTCTGGAGTCGCGATGTTGGGGCTGATTGTATATTTCCCCTCTTTGCACCAGTGTAGATTGGGAGTAATTCTATTGAAATCAGTGGAAGGCGTGTTCTGCAAAAATGTAAAGGGAGGGGTATGAGTTCTTGTATGATGTGATGCTGGGATCGATCTCTAGGACTGATGCCACACAGCTTGGGTTATCAGCCCGACTGTTCCTGTGGATGCCAAAGCTCTGATATCTGAGATCAAGAATGTGCATGTTTATCCAGCTCAAGGTTCAGTTCGTTCCCATTTGTTATCCCTGTGAAAAGCCATGTGCTGTGAGGAAATACATTAATTGCTAACAGGAGCCTAAAGAAATCTGCAAAGCTGGACTTCATGATTTGTCTGTGGTTCTGTCCCATAGTAATTCTGGGTAGGGGCAGAAAGTTTCCCTTACTTTCTGGGATTCAAAAAGTGCCTGCCAAGCTATTGTTTAAATGCAGCATCCTATAGGCTGTGCAAAATGTTCAGAACAAAAAAACAGAACTAGGAAAAACTAGTTCCCCTCCTCCCCACCCCCCACACACAAGGTTTCACAATCCTAAAAATGAGCCCATTTTGCCAAACACTCAATGCATTTTATGATTTTTTTTTTCTTTTTCTTCTTTACTGGGAGAATGCTACTACTTCCAAATGGGAAAATAATCAACATTGCTAGTTTAGAGATGGCTTGTGCAGAACTGCCCTGGCATTAACTCTCTCGAACATCAGGGCAGTTTTAAAAGTAAAACGGGTGTGAAAGAAATGAAACACCCCCGAGATGAAATGACCACGTTCCTCCCCCCACACAGCTTTTGCAGAAGAGAAACTTTCACTTTTTTTTAGCAACTGCCAAGTTTCATATGAAATGCTAGTCTATTGTGGGGAGTGCTGTCCATGACTGAGTAGGCAAATGAGGAGGAACCAACCATTAAATATTTTAATGAAAAGATATCTGCCGGCAGTACCGGCTGCTTTCTGCCCTTGGCGTGAATTAAGAGGGCAAATTAACCTGTAATTACAAAATAGTATCAGCTACGGGCTGCCAAGCACATCATCACCACCACATATGTTCCATGCCACTCTCATTGGAAGACAAATTTGAAAATATTTGTATTTTTTTCAGTTGTGTTTAATGAGCAAGTATTGCTCAGCTTTTAAGGGTCATTTGTAGTGAATCTATAACAGCACTGGGGCTTATATATGTGTGAGTGCACGTGTACAAGATATGGGGGCTTGCTTTCACTATCAGGGATGCTTATCAGGAACTATTTCACATATGCTGGCAGGGGGAGACTGGTTGATGAGTGCCTGTGGGATTGGAATTGTGTCTCTTGACATTAGAGTTCAGTATTGGCCCAGAACTGAATAGAAGTAGGGCTGTGCTTTGCAATCCAGTGCTTACCCTCCTTCAGTTGAATCAAATGGCAATTTAAGCATCTAGATTTTTCAAGGGAGTAAAAATTGGGTGATTGAACCGTTATCTCTCTTGTCGACACATTATAATCGCCATTTGGCCAAAATACTCCTTGGCTTGAAGCAAAAAACCTGAACAAGTATTGGTTTGGATCTCTTTACTGCTTTAATTTTTAACTATTAACTGTGCAGTTATTTTCTCATTGCTGATGCTGCCTTCTTTGCATTTTGTATGCAAAGTTGGTTGAGGTGGTGTGAAACCAAGCAAACTGCTACACCTAAGAATCAATGTGGTGTGGAAGTTGTATTACACTTCGGTTTCATGAAGCACATTTGATCTGGATTTTTGTCATGTAAGAAAATTAAATCTCCACAGGCCTCCATCTGTGGGATTTTATTTGGGCCCATTTGAATCTGTTTTTTTGTGAAATGGTGTTCTGTGAATTTTGTGAAAAGGTCTTGGTCCACCACCATCACTGGAATGAATTGAGGTTTTTCTGTTAGCATCAGTAGAGTGGCCAAACATTTACGTGGGCATGGAGACCGAACTACTTTCTCAGCCTCGTAGGTTGTCATTACAGGTCAGGCTCAGGTAGCAGGTGATTGTCAGGGAAGTGCGGAGAAAGTTATAATGTTGCTGCCTGTGCTGTTTTGAGATTTTAAGGTTCCCTTGGTATTAATCCAGTACCTGTTTACAAGCGCTAATTTCCATAAAGAAATTTTAAAAATCTAGTATTTGCCTAATACCAGATGACGTCCGTTTGATAAATATGCATTTTTCTAATCCGTGATTGCTCAGCTTCTGTAGTAACATAGTCTTAAAGAGACCCTTCTTTTTCCAGAAGAACCGACTCCACATAAAACCAACAGCCCACCCACTGGAGTTTCATACGCTTATGATGTCTCGGACTATGGCCTCAAGCCATGCCCCCTGGCTTATCCTAATCTTTCTGCAGATCCCATGGGCAGATATGGACAGCCAGATAGCATAGGGACAGCACCTACATACCCTGCAAACACTGCAGGGGCCTCTGCTCTGAGCCCTAGGATTGAGATCACTCCATCTCATGAACTGATTCATGCAGGGGGTCCCTTCCGCAGCAAAGACACAGATCTTTTGGTAGAGCATCAGTCCAACTCAGCTACCACTAGCCCAAGGTTTACCTTGCCTGTCCCTGGCTTTGAGGGCTACAGAGAACCGCTGTGTTTGAGCCCCGCTAGTAGTGGCTCATCTGCAAGTTTCATTTCAGAGACAAATTTCTCTCCTTACACATCACCATGTGTTTCACCAAATAATGGTCCTAGTGATGACCTTTGTCCACAGTTTCAAAACATCCATACTCATTATTCTCCTAGAACCTCTCCAATAATGTCACCACGAACAAGCATCACGGAGGAAACCTGCTTGGGACCACATTCACCATCACCCCGTCCCAACTCAAGGTCTTCGTCACCAGGTGCAAAACGGAGACACTCTTTCACTGAGCCCTACAGCACTCAGCCGCTTTCCACATCTCCACGACAGTCAAGGACCCCCTCTCCCCAACCCTCTCCTCGCATCACCTTGAGAGAAGACAGCTCTGCGCTCACTTACACCCAGCTGCCCAGCTCGTCGAGTCTCATGGATGCTATGAACAGCCTCAGTACAGACTCTTCTTGTGGTATTCCTACAAAAATTTGGAAAACCAGCTCTGATCCCTCATCAGTGCCTTCTCACAAAAACAGCCTTCCGTGTCACATCTTTCAGACGGTTGACTATCCTGGGCCTTGCGATCAGGAGGAGAGGAGAAACTCAGCACCTGAATCCATTTTGTTAGTACCTCCATCCTGGCCAAAGCAACTGGTGCCTGCCATACCCATCTGCAGGTATGTTGGACGTTTCCTGCTTGTCCATTTTTATCCGTTACCTTCACTGGCTGTTTTCAAATCTTAACAGATTTGCAGCGTGGCTCTAAGGTGTGCTACGGGGAGTTTAGCTTTACTACTGAAAGTGCTGCATGGAATTTGCACCATGCATGATCTCTCGCACATTTAAGTTCACAGGCTCAGCCTTACAGTTTAAAGCCCCACAATGAAACGTGCAATGTGGTTCATTGGTGCTGATCCCTGTGTGAAAGATCATGCTGCAGGACGGAGCTTAGTTATTGGTAATTATGGGTTTATGGTGCTGAATGACTACAATCCTAGAGCTGGCTTAAGGCGGGGGGTGTTTTGTTTTGGTTTTTTTACCTTAAACTTTTTTCTCTGGCAAAAATCATGGTGTGGCTGAGCCTGCATCTTGTGGCAAACTCATCTCGGTTTGCTGAACTGATTATGCTACAGGACCAATTTGTTTTTTAAATCATTTTAAAAGCTGACTCAAAGGTTGCTTTGGTTTTTTTTTTTAATTGAAAATTACTTTCCATTTTAAAAAAATCTTCAATTTTATTAAAAAAAAACAAACCCTGAGTACTTTAATTAAAAAAGAATCACGTTATTTTAGGTCAAATTTAGATGTTCCATTTGACCCCAAACTACTAAAACTTCTTTTTCATCACCATTAAAAACCAATAATAAAACAGCTTGGGGGGGGGGTTGTTTGTTTGTTTAATAACCTTTTAAGGAGAAATATGTGATTTGTTAAATAAGTAATCCTAGCTTACTTCTTCAGTGGTGATGAAGGTCTAAGATTAATGTGGAGGATATATGGCTGTAAACGCCTGAAATAATACACACTCTTCCGCCTATTATTTATTAGGGAGCTACTTTGTTTTTTGCTCAGAGTGTGACTCAGAAGGATTTGCCTATCCTGAACTTTGCAAAGCAAAGTTCTAATCCGGCAAAATTTCCAGTGACTTGAGCAGGGCCAAGAGTTCAACCATGTGCTCTATGCATACTGAAAGCCTGTAGCCCTTTTCTGAGTACCCTCCATTTCAGAGATTTAAACAGCTTAATTTCTTCCTGTCTAGTGTACCTGTTGCATCCCTCCCGCCTCTGGAGTGGCCGCTTTCCAGTCAGTCTGGCTCTTACGAACTGCGGATTGAAGTTCAGCCAAAGCCCCATCATCGTGCACACTATGAGACGGAGGGGAGTCGAGGAGCAGTCAAAGCACCAACAGGGGGCCATCCCGTGGTCCAGGTAAGAGATCTGAGCATCAGTGAAATGTTGAAGCAGGGGTTAATTCATTTTTTTTTAAATCTTATTTGGAGAGAAGCCTACATGAGGGGAATGTGTGTGAATACTGAGATCCTTGTAATCATGTGTGAAGTCTCTGAAGGTGAGTGGAGGTGAATGTCAAAAGGTTTGAAGATTCAGTTTGGAGAAATGTGTGAAAGATAAGAGGTGCAGCCAAAGCTTATGCCAAATGTTCTTGATTGGAAATCACATTAAGGTTCCCTTGAGATCAGATTCTGTCCTGAAATAGCCAACCATTCTGTGTTCCTGTTGGATCCATGTGAGCCTTAATAGTCTCTCTTGTGTCATTTTATTTCTTTTGTACCTTTTTTTTAAATATGTAGTGTTGAACCTCAGAAACCAGTTGAGTGTCTGGTGTAGTGTGAAGGATCTTCCTGGATCTGGATTATTTTGCCTTTTTACTGAAAGCTTTCAAATCCCCAGTTCCTCTGGCATATGTGGACTTTGTAGAACATACTTGTGCTAAACATACTTCTGAATGTACCTGACCCTTAGAGCCCTTTTATTTCTGACAATGAAATATGAGGCTCATTCAGTTCCCTCTAAAGTCAAATAAAAGGCTGAAACAACAACCAGTTCTGGGCGCTGCACTTCAAGAGGGATGTGGACAACACGGAGAGGGTCCAGAGGAGGCCACTCGCATGATCAGGGGGTAGCAGGGCAGGCCCTACAAGGAGAGGCTACAGGACCTGAACCTGTTCAGGCTCCGCAAGAGAAGGCTGAGAGGGGATCTAGTGGCCTGTTACAAACTAGTCAGAGGGGACCAGCAGGCATTGGGGGAGTCCCTGTTCCCCCGAGCATGACCAGGAGTGACCATGAATAACAAGCTGGCAGAGGGGAGATTTAGGCTAGATATCAGGAGGCGCTACTTCACGGTCAGGGCAGCTAGGATCTGGAACCAACTTCCAAGAGAAGTGGTGCTGGCTTCTACCCTGGGGGTCTTTAAGACAAGGTTAGATGAACACCTTGCTGGGGTTGTTTGACCCCAGTACTCTTTCCTGCCATGGCAGGGGGTCGGATTTGATGATCTGCCTCAGGTCCCTTCCGACCCGACCAACTATGAAACTTCCCTTAGCTTTAACAGGAGTTGGATTTAGGGTCGTGCATACGTTCAGCTGCAGTTCTCAAGGATTAACAGTGAACTGTTCAAAACTCATTTGAATTCATTTCAGGTAGAATTGGGAGATTGTGGGTGCAGTCAAGGTTTTGAAAACTTGAAAATGATTTCTTCTATTATTTCCCAAAGCAGTTGGGTTTCACCTTCTGATGTCAACTCTTTCCTTTCTCCTGCTTAAATCTTACTCCCTTCTCACCTTATCATTACACCTTACCTTCATTGTGGTTACTCTTGGTTCTCATCTGAGTAAAGCAGAGGAGAATCTGTACCCATACCTTTTCTTATGTAGTTGGAAGGCTATGAACTAATTTACAAAAACTCAACAATTGCAGATGGATACGCTGTAGAAGGCAGTCAACTAACTAGGCTATTTTTTTCCTCTTAGAATTTCTCTTTCCCATGAGTAGTTCTTTGTCCTGAATCATTTTTTCCCCTTGACTTTCTTTCTATCTGTCCCTCTTCTTTCAGTCCCTAAGTGGGTAGCCAGCCCTAATACTACCTAAGCAGGCAGGTATTGATTCTGGGGACAGATGAATCTCAGTATGCGCATCAGTACATCTCTTGCCTTGTGTGTATACGTACAACTGGCTGAGCATAAACCAAATCATGTCACTTATGTAATTCCATTTGTCTTTAGTTGTAACAATTTCTTTTTTTATCTTGGATGTATAATGCCAGAAGGAAATCTGTGTTCATTGGCAATAACTGGAATGAGATGAGGGGAGAGGAGGATAACTTAAATATATAGTGCTGAGGTTGGTTTCAAGGAGAAGTTTGGTCTGTACAGCTGCTTGTATGCCATGGGGGTTTACTTCGGTTTAATGCTCCCTCATTTTTAAAAGACCACCGCTTCAAACACCGCTTCGATGCAGGGAGAATTAAACCGAAGTAAACCTCCGTGGTGTGTACGCAAGGGTTGAGCCTGATCCTTACCTACCTCTCCAGTGGCAGGGGAGGCAGGACAAGTTGCCAGCGGGCTGAGTAGTCCCTGAGCTGCAGGGGGGCTGGTGCTTCCCACATGGTGGTGGTACCCCCCAGGCGTCACCTACCCACAGGCACCTGGCACGGGCAGTCCTGGGGGGCACCGCAGACAGGGAGGGTAGCACCAGGCCCCCAACAGCCGTGGAGGGAAGCACATAGCTCAGGCAGGCTCCAGGGAGGGAAGAAAAAAAAAAAAGATCAGGCTCGCAGTTTTTGTTTTTTTAATTTTTCCTTCGGTGGAGCCTGCCTACACGGGCTGCCTGGACAGCCCCTGAGCTCCACAGGGCCCAGTGCTTCCCTCTGCAGCTGTTGCACTTTGTTAGGGAGCAAACTAAAACACCTTGGAGGTGTTTTATTTTGCTACGTCCCTAAGTCATTTAACGTGCAATACGCTGCCAACAGTGTAAACAGCTGCACCATTAAAGTGCAATACACTGCCGACAGTGTAAACCGCAGTGCCATTAAAGTGGTGCAAAAGGGCATGTAAGCCATTTTAAAGGCCAATTTTGTGGCATGTACAAAGGCCCTGTAAAGCTGTAAATGGACTGAAAACTGGTTCACTGGTGTGTTGTTTCACGGAGAAAAGGTGAATGGTTTTAAGGCAGGAACTGACTTGAAATTTGGGATGATGTCATCGTAGAAAACCTATTGGTTTTACCTAGTGTATAAAGACCCAATTCCAATCTCAGTTACACTGGTGGAAAGGGACATTAGTCTACTGAAATCCATGGATAAATGCAAAATTTGCCCCATCAATCCACTAGAATTTGGTCTAGCACAAAGGTAGCAGATGAGCTATAACATCCTACTGCAAATAATATCCTTGTACAGTGGACCATCATCATCTGCACAATTCAAAACTTTGCATAAAATGATGGCTGAGCATGTTATCAGTGATGACTTGCATTTTTTTTAGTTATCTCATTTATTTTCTCTTGGTTTCAATTAATCTTTTTCAGAAGGCAAGGACACACGTTTGTCTGGGGTTTGAAGGCACTACTGTACATAATAGTACTATGTGGAAATGATACAAATATAGCAAAGTTAGAGCTAGATTTTACAGACCTGTACTTAGCATCCTACAGAATCCAGCTGTAAATTGTTTTTGTTTTGTTTTGGTTTTTTTCCCCTTGGGTTGATCCAGCAAAATGTTTATGCTTTTGTTCAACTCAAAGCCTGGAAACAAGCCTACTGTCTTCACTGATCTACTGAGGTGCCCATGCTCAATTATTTTACTGGATTGGAACTTGAAGGCTCAAGCCCTTTGCTACATAAATAAATTTACTTATTTCAACTGGCTGTAATGACATGCATAAGAGGTACAGGGCAAAAAATAGCAATCATGTGTTTGGTGTAGTTTCCATATTTACAATTTCCAAATGGCCATATGACAGGGGCGGGCAATTATTTTGGGCAGAGAGCCGCTTACTGAGTTTTGGCAAGCCATTGAGGGCCGCATGACAGGCAGCCCTGGGCAGATAAATATTCATTTTCAAAATTTTTTAGGGACACTGTGGGCTGGATAGAATGGCCTCGTGGGCCGCATTTTGCCCACGGGCTGCATTTTGCCTTCCCCTGACATATGAGATACATGACCAATCATTGGGGCTGTGCAAAACTTCGGTCCCTGATTCAATTTGGTGGAGATTCAGCCCAATTCAGTGGCCAAGTTTCAGAATCCAAATCAAATCAGGATTTTTAGCAGGCGTGACTACATGTGCAGTACAATGCATTAATGCAACGCGATAAACTCCCATGTTTATCTCACCACAGCTTATTGCTCCCGGGCATGCATATACACATGTGCCCAGGACTGCAGCCAGGTCGGAACAGCCCTGACTGGCAGGGGGCTCTGGGGGTCAGCCTGCTAGCCTGGGGCTGCTCCCCACTGGCTCGGTGTGCTGCAGAGGGGCTGGCTGGGGCATGAGGGTGCTTCAGCATGGGCTAGCCAGCAAGCAGCCCCTGCACTGAAAAATCCTCATGCCCCAGCCAGCCAGGACAGTGTCTACACATTTGCTGCTTTGGAGTGTTTTACTCTGCAGGAGAATAGTAGGTGTGCGCAAAGCAGGCCCTATTCAATTTGGAGTCAGATTCGGCCCGAATCAGGGACAGTGATTTGATTTGGCTCACTGTCCCTGATTCGATTCGGCCGAATCTGAAGATTCGATGCTGATTCAGAGAATCAGCTATTCGGACATAGACACAGTTTTAAATGTTTTGCTACATACCTCAAGGTACCTGGTGCAGCTTGTGAAGGCTGCAATGCTGGGGCACATGGAGCATCCTACAGGAGTGCAGGGGGCCCTCCACATACTTGGTGGTGAACCCAGAAGTACTTCCGGTCCACTTCCAGGTCCGCTGGGAAGCACACTGAGGGGCCTCTCCTGTACTCCTCCAGCTCGGCGATTGGCCGCAGAGGGCACCAGGAGGCACTAGTCACTGAGCCGGGTGGTGTGAGAGGGGCCCCACAGCGTGCTCCCCAGCAGACCCCGAAGTGGACCGGAAGTGCTTCTGGTCCACTTCCAGGTCTGCTGCCGAGCACACTGGGGAGCCCCCCGTGCTTCTGTGGGATGCTCCATCCATTCCACCATCTCAGCATTCATGAGCCACCTGCTACCTAGAGGTACATAGAAAACGCATTTAAAGCTGTGTCTATGTCCGAATCGCCAAATCTCTCTGAATCAATTCAGAGGCTTCCAATTTGATTCGGAGAGATTAAAGGGTCTTGTGATTCGATCCGGATTCAGAGATTCAGCGCCAAATCTCCACCGAATCGAATTGGGGACTTAAACTCTGCACAGCCCTAGAAGATGGTACTTGTATTTACAAGTACTGTCCTGCTGTG